CTAAACCTTAGTTATACAAATTTATTCATTTTTAAAAATTTACATCAAATTTAACATGAAAAGGAAACTAAAATATATAAAAGATGTAAAACCCTCAGCCACAAAAACTAATATTATCAAATTGTACCAACAAAACTTTTGGTCTTACAATGAAATACATAAAAGAATAACAATTAATTTTCAATTCATATCTTAAAATTTAAATAATGAAAAGTAATTGAAAATATAAAACAAGGTAACCTTAGTAAACTTAAATAAAAAAAAAATGATCAAAGCTTTTTGTTTTTCCATATTAGAGAAAACAGATAAAAACAAACAATAAAATAAAAGTAAAAGAAAAAAAAAAGCAAACCCAAAAATTTATTGTTATTTACAAAGCTGAAGATTAAAATTGTTGCCAAGAATGAAAACAAAATGCTTATTTTTTTTCCTGCTAGGTTTGTTGATGACATTAATTGTTGCGCAAAACCATTCGATTTGGCCACCAACCCCCATAATGGTCCCAAGACTACTTTCACTTTTTTTCTTGTTTCTTTTTTTATATATCTCTCATTCATCGTTGCTCCTCCTTTTTCCCAATGGAAAGGCCAAATCAGGCATTTCATCCATTCCTCTACATTTCACATTTGTTTTCCTTATTTTGTTTTTCATTTTTGTTTTCCCAATCCTCCTTTGAGAAGTTTTAGCTTTTGTCCTTTTTTTTTCTTAGATAATTAAGCAAATTGGTGTTATTATTTAAGAAAAAAAGAAAAAAAATGAAAATGTTTTGTTAAGTGACAAATGTTGCTCAAATAACCCCTTAATGGTGGTAGACAAATGTCTAGCTAGACTTTAAATCCTAAAGCTTGATTTACATTATTATTATAAATACTAGAGTTTAGTCCATGCTTCACCACGGTGCTAAAAACTACTTAATAGGGGAAAAGAAAGAAAATCAATAAAAAATACTCATAACATAAGAAACTTATAAACATCATAAAAAAAAATAATAAACAAATAAATGAGCTTTAAATGTAATAAAAAAACTTAAAACAAATGTATAATAAATCCTATCCAAAATGAAATAGGATTATAAAGAATGATATAAATTATATCAAATGGAATGAACAACTTTATTATAACAGAATTTCTTAGAATAGAGAGTTTAGAATATAGGGTTTAAATTCTTGCTAGTGGACTTTTAGGACTTGCATCTATAAGTACCATCAATCTAAAGTGAGAGTTATCAAGTGTAAGATAACTATGATTGATAAGAATATGCATTATCTTGAAAAAGGCAAGCATGAAAAAAGAAAAAAATAAAAACAAAAAAAAAATGAAAAAGAGTCCTTAATATGGAGGCCAAATCAAATGTGCAATAAAAAATATGCTAGCAATAGAGAATGCTCTAAATAAGCAACAAAATCAATTCCAAAAACTTTTCACCTAATTGTCATTAGTTGTACACTTAATTTGGTGACTATTGTGCATGTTCAAATTGTAACACAATGCTTACTTCAATGTTTCCTAGATATATTATAATTTAATAGTACCATAGATTGCAAATAGCTTGACAGTGTTAAATAAGATTAAAAACATTGACCTCTTACATACGAAGAGCCTCATTGAATGATAACATCCTATGAAATAGAACCAACAACATTGAAAATGCAAAATGAAGGCTTTTAGCATCTATATTTGATAAATGTGCAAAAATTTCCCAGTTTGTGAGTTCCACAATATGCCACAACGCTTGCAATTGCTTCATTACTCCAATTGGTCCCTCTATGTAAAAACTTTCAATAAAGCCATGTGAAAAAGCATATATAAGTGGAAAAGATATAAATGATCAAAGATTAAAACACCACTCTTAATAAACATCACAAAGCACCAAAATGCATCTACATTATCTTCAAAGAGAATAACAAAAGGAGATAGCAAGTCACTTATACCTAAGATCAAAATCTCACCAAAATAGTTAGAATTAAACATTTAAAACTCTAAACTTAAAGTTGCATCTTTTATAGTTTTACACCAGATAATAGCAAATCAATAAAAGAAAGGTTCAGCAAACCATGTTATGAGTAGAAGGATAAAACATTGATAAGAACCTTGTGACAATGTAATCCATGTTAGCCTTACTTAAAGACATAAGTATTAAAAGGCCAATCATGGACTAACCTCTATTGCCATTGTCACTACACATCATAGTAATCAATTATCCTAAATTTGCTTTCATGTTGTGAATTAAACCAAAACAAACAAATAGTCAAAATGAAATTAAGAATAAAATATCAATGGGAAAAACACAAACCTAATTATTTACAAAAATAAGCCTTTTATTGCTTCAATCCTACCATTATATTGGTGTTTTGGAGCCTCAAATATACATACCATCTCTTTTGAATCCAAATAACTTTTTATCTAAACAACAAAAGATAATAATAAAAAAAAACTCATATTATACTTTTGATTAATTAAGGGCAATGAAAACAACAAAAAATCCTAAATTCGAAATTCTTACTTGAGAAATATGATCTTCATAAAAGCAAACATCACAGACCCAACTTTCGTATTGCATATTGATTTTATCTTCAAAATTCTTTTTTTTTCTTTAGCTAGAGTTTCAAGCTATTGTTGCTATGTTTAAAGCATCATAACTAAACACTCAAATATTTCATCCCACTTTTAACGCTCTAATGAGACTTAATAACATGTTTCATGTCCATTATGCAATAAAGATAATAAAAATAATAATTTGTTTTTCAATTTTCAAGTTTCCATTGACATTTTTTTTACAAAAAAGGAATTTATAAAAATAAACTTTAATAAATCTTAACAGTGCTTAAATATTCAACAAAAAAAAAAAAGGTTATCTATCAATATAAAACTTAAAGTTCTTGCAAGTCATTTTAACATATAGACAAAAACCTATAGTTTCTATCATATAAATAAACAAACAAAACCAATATTGAAGCTGATAAGATCATATCCATTGAATCATGTATAAAAAAATAAGAAAAAAAACCCAAATTTCTCCTATTCTTTAAAAAGAAAAATTAATGAAAGAAATAGATAGCTTATAAGGAATCAAAGAAAGTTTAATGTTAATTTTTTTATGAAGATCTATCGTCAATGATCAGCGATCGATGGTAGAGGAGAAACTTCTGATTTTCTTTTTGGAGAAAGTGATGAAAGAGTAATTAAAAGGGCTACTATTTTTTTTCTAGAAAATTCTCAATGAACAATTTTTTGCTTTGTTTTTTTTCTTTCAATTCTAACCATTTTTTTCATTTATCTCTATTCTTAATTATTAAAAAAATTTATTAAAGACCAATGAATGGGTGACAAATGTAATCAAATTAGATGCCTAATGAACAGTGGATATGAACAATTGACATTGAGAGACTAATATCTATATATAGTTATAGATTTAAAACAATCTATGAGGGTGCACTAATTGACACTTGTCCAATATTATATAATTGTTGTTCGCCTTCATTTGATTGGTTTTGAGTTAATTTTTTTATTAAAAAGAAAAAGAAAAAATTGAATGAAAAAAAAAGAAAAAAGAATCTATAATGAAAAGAGAAAAAAATTCTAAAATGTAGACAGAGAAATAAATAAATAGACCTACACAAAGAAGAGATAGAAAAAAAAATAGAGAGAAAAAATAGCGAGATGAGAAAAAATCTTATTAGAATGGATCAGATTTAGTAGTACCTACCAAAATTTCCTATTACTAATGAAAAAAAGTAAAAAAGAAAAAAGGTAAAAGGAAAAACGAATAATAAAAAAGAAAAACTAACAAAACAAGTAAGACTAGTAAAAGAGAAATAAGGATAATAGTGGGGAGAAACCTATAAGGCAATGTTCCTTTTGTTATATATACACCATTTCATGAGTTTATCATATTTAACAAGTATGATTAGAATAAAAATATAAGATTATATTATTTAGCTATATTTAAAAATTAATAAATTACATAATAATTAAATAATATATGATAATGTTCCAATATGTCTTATTCAATATAAAAGATTTATCGTCAATTTATTGAATAATAATATAATTAGACGTTTAGAATTGTGATATAATATTTTCTTTTTGTTCATTTTCTTTTTGCATTGTTGAACAGGTTGCTTCAGCGCAAAATGCCATTTCAAAAGTTTGTGACATTTTTGTTAGGTATGCAAATATAGATAATTAAGTGGATATATGTTGTCTTATTATTTATTTATTTATCAATTCCTTGGAGCAAATATTTTAATACATTTGGGATTTATTTATATAATTATGGGTTTTGTTTATAAATATGTTATTTTATATAAAAACTTTTTTTTAATTTTTTAATTAAAAAGAAAAACCATTTACTAGTTCCATCGAAAACAAAAAGTCAAGTCAAGTCGTTTCGGGCTCTAAATTTTCCAGTTTGCAACCAGCCCAGATAAGGGAAAACCAGCCCAGTTCCTCCGTCAACTCTTATTTGGAGAAAAGTGAAAAAAAAAAAAAATATATATATATATATATATTTATATATATACTGGCGTCGCCCGGACTCGAACCGGAGACCTTCAGTGTGTTAGACTGACGTGATAACCAACTACACCACGACACCCGTCGGCGTTTCTTCTTCCAACTTTTAGATATTTTAGATGAAAATATTTTAGATGAAATAAGAGAGAAAGTTCTGCTCCATGATACGGGATAGAGAGATTGCATTGTAGAGAGTAGATAGGTAAGTGGAACTGCGGAAGATACAGAAGATGGGAATGTGTTCTACTTCTATGTCAACGTTTCTCTTCACTATGGCATTGGCAGCAGCAGCTACCACAGTCATAACCAGAAGAACAACACCACTTTATTTCTCTCCTTCCCTTCAACAAAACCCTTCTCTCTTCTTCTTTGCCCGCACTTTCCCGACCAACCCATTTCTCTTCTCTTTCTGTTTTCCCAAATGTAGATTCTACTAAGTTGCAGGTTTCTGCTTTTAAGAAAGAAAGGATACTACCCTCTTCGAAATGGACGCTTCTGATGACGACGACGATGAATTATTTGATTTTTATGATGAATTTGACGGTGGTGATGAAGACGACGTTGAGGAGATGTTTCTTCCGGTTGGGAATATGAATAAGTGGCATGAGAACAAGCCACGTTGGTTCAGTGAAGGGAAAGTATATGATACTTCTATTGAAGGCAAGCTGCTTGAAGAAATTGAGTAAAGCAGACAAGCACAATTTGTTAAAGTCAATAATCTCAAAAACAATCCTCTCAAATCTGGTTCCAAGAAAGATGATCAGCAAAACAAGAACGGTTGGGCCCTTCCAACTTTATATCAGTTTCAAATTTATTTAAAGGGTTTGCCTCTTTTCAGTCCGATTTCTATGGCTTCTGTCACGTGCCTTTTTCCTTTTTATTTTTATTTTTTTCAGTAGCTGAAGCTGTTCCAAGTGGAATTCGTGTGAGGGTGGTTAACCTTCCCAAGAAAAAGAACATTCACCGGGATTTGAAAGCTGCTTTCGATGGGTTTTCTGGAATAGCTAATATATCTTCAGCTGTTTCTGGGGACAAGAAGACTAAAGACCCTGTTTGCAGAGGTTTTGCCTTTGTTCATTTCAAGCGTGAGGTGGATGCAACAAGGTGTGATGTGATAAATGATTGTATTGCAAATTGAAAAATTTTTTTTAAGAGAAACTGATGACAAAGGTAAGGGATGGTAATTTTATTCGAATCTGATGGGAACTTGGTTTTTTATTCAAAATAAAGTGTGATGGGTATTATATAGTAGAAATAAAAATAAAGATGAATATAATTTTAAATTTTTATGAGGAATGAAATGAATTATATAAAATTTATCTTGTACTTGCAACTTGTATATTTAACAAATAAATTTTTTATTAAATAATATAAATTATTATTTTAGATTAATTAAAATTAATATATTTTATTTAAAAAATATTACCATATATTTATAAAAAAGTTACATAAATATACATAAAAATAAAAAAAACTAAAAAAATAAATTTTGGTTTTATTTTTTAAAAAAAGTTATAGATATGGGCTCATTAAATATTAGTAGGGATGCAAATGATGATAGATTTAAAATATTTATTGGATATGAATACGAAATGAATATAATATAAAAATTTGAGAATGAAAATAATGAATGCTTTATCTGTCTTTCACCCTACTCATTGACATTCTTAACAAAGGTGATAAGAAAAAAAGGTTGGTTTTATGAATGACCTTTAATTGTAGTGAAATTTTAATGTACTACCTAAATTTAAAAAATTTTTAATATAATATCTAAATTATAAATTTATTATATTAAAAATTTATTAATTAATATTTAAGAGTTGTTTTATCTACTATGTGTCATCATTTGAGGTAAGTTATGTTAGAAGTGAGTATGAAGTTAGTTAATAGATTTATAGTTCAAATATTACATTAAAAAATTTTAAAATTTAAGTATTGTATCAAATATTTTATTATAGTTTAGAAATATTAATAAAAAAATAAAAAATAAAAAAAGCTAGCTGCACGAGTAGGAAACTATATGAAATTCATGCAATAAGATTAAGAACCGGCAAAACTACTGCTAGTATAGGCGACTATTTGGTTAAGATGGTGTTTTGTAGGAGATTTTGAAGTTTTTATTTTATATGCAATATTGTATAAGTCTAATTGATCTTAGATGGCATATCATTCTTGTTTGTAGAGAGTTAGCATTGTACTATGATCCTTCAACTGAAATAATGTTTTCTTAAGGCAGGTTTGTACAAAATTTCTCTGGACATAATCTAACATTTAGTAGGATTCAGAAGCAAATAAAATGTGATATGATGAATTGGCCTTACCACAATCCCACTCATGAATAATTGAGTGATAATGATTCCATGACACCTGAAATGGCAGTTTCTGGCTTCATAGACTGTCCTAATGCTCATTTTGATATGAATAACTCTTCAGATTTATGATTGGAAAGTGTATATGATGAATTCAATTACTAGGATGATGAGTTTGGTAGAGTGGAACTAGGAGACGGTAGAGACAATCTTAATGTTATTAGTGAATCGGAGCAAAGTAGTGGTAATGACATGGAACCGAAGTTTAAGCATGTAGCAGATTCAATTTCCTCAAACCGGCTAGAAAGAACTAGGGCTCTTGAGAAAAAGCTACTTGCTAGAGAAGAACAGCTAAGAGTTCCAAAAGAGCAAAAGGGTCAAAAGCTAGAAAGAATTAGGTTTATCGAGAGAAAGGTACGTGCTAAAGGAAACCAGCAAAAAGTTCCAAAAGAGCAAAAGGTTCAAAAGCTTGACATTCCAGGATCTGCAAAGAGTTAGCTTTCTGCATTATTGCAATACTTTGGTGAATGATTTTTTTTACTTTAACATGGTTTAAAATTCAAAGTTGGTTTATTTATTTGCGCAGGTTAAAGACTAAGGATAAAGCTCCCCTAACGGGGGTCTTCTCCAAATATGGATTGAAACAAATGGTGTAGATTATTTGATATTGCTAGATGCAAACATGAACCATAGCTGCAGTTTAGCCAGGGTAGCATTTAGGTTTAAACTGCCTGCCTATGCAGGAAAAAGAATGGTCATCATAATAGCCATTTTTGACAAACCTTTAATTCATGAATTCTATTTTCCTGTATTCCAAATGAATACATGTGAACCCGATTATGAAGTTTGTGGTATTTTTCAAGGTGAATCATTCAATCTTCACAAGCGTTTTTTCTCTTTTTTTCAAAATTGTCAAGAGTCGTCCTTTTGGGCTTTGCTGTAACAATGGAATTCCTTGCTGGTCTTTCTATTACGATTTTTCTTGCAAGCCACATTGATCTGTTAGCCCTTTTAGATCATTGAATGAACAATTGCGTTGAGGGGTTAGCTTTCTTTTGTTCTTATTTTTATTGTGGGTTCTATGTTTCCTCAAAGTTAACGAAGATAGGGAAAATGGCATCATAACATTATTTGAGTCTTCGAATTTTATTAAAAATGAAAATAAGTCATATATTTTATTGCATGATATCAAGACAATGAATTTTATTTTATTGATATCAAGGCAATGAATTTTTATTTTATTAAAAAAATGTTATGAGTTTCATTAGTTTAGACTGAAGGATAACAGAAGGTTGAAATTATAATGCAATAACAGCATGCATAAATTATGTCTAAGATGAGTCATATATCCAAATTGGAATAAGTAACAGACTACCTAGATTTAATTTAGTCATACAATAATAGATATTGGAAGATTTTATAAGTTTATAAAAGAAAATCAAAACTGTTACATGTTAAACCTCACCAAGGGTGAGTTACAATAAGTTTCATAAAAAGAAACTATATTGCAAAAAATGAAGCACCAAAATTTTATCTACATTTATGACCTAATTTACAAGCTACAACGGTCTTTCAAAATGCATCTGTTGGTATAGATAAATAAATCACTCATCTCCTCTCATATGAAAGATATAAAGAAACTAAAATAACTTTAATCTTTCACATGTGATAAACTATAATAAATCACCCAGGTCTTAAGGCTATTATAATGGTACATAGTAAGAAAAATAGAGAATAATATTGAGTACGAAAAAAGCGAAAGAATAGATTTCAATGCAATCAATTGTAGCATTACTATTTTTCTTTTGATACCACACATGTTTGAACAAACATCTATAAGCATAAAAATGAAAAGAAATTCAGGTAAGTGAGGAAGACTTTAAATTGGATGTCATACCGTTTAGGTCCGAAACCTACCAATTAGACACAAAAGACACAAAAATTATGGAATTGTCATCAATTTTTTTTTACCTCAATGTGAATGGCCACCCACTACAAGAAAATGAAAAATTAGTAGTAGTTTTGTAGCGGTGTTTCACTTAAAAACACCGCTAGCTTCTGTGTTTTTATAAAACTTGAGGTATTTTTTATCAAAATGTCACTAAATATTTAAATAGCGACATTTATACTTATAAACACCACTAAAGACAAAAATTAGCGGCGTTTATCAACTAAAATACCTTGAATAATCATCTCTAAAAAATTTGAATGATTATTGAAGACGTTTTTTTGGCATAAAACACCTTGAATAATCCCTTCATAAAAAATTGATAGGAGATTACTGAAGATATTTTTTGCAGACAACGCCTTCAATAATCTCCTTATAAAAAATATAAGTGATTGTTGAAGGTATTTTCTACTATAAACACCTTTAATAATTCCCCTAAAAAATTGGAGAGGATTGTTGAAAGCGTTTTTGATTAAAAACGCCTTCAATAAATCTCCTTTTAAATAAATTTGCCAAAAATAAAGTAGCATTATAGGTTAAAACATACAGTTATTAACCATAAGGTCGTAGATTCGATCTCTCTTTTCAACATTTTTTGGTTTTTTGAGGGATTATTCAATGTGTTTTTGGCTAGAAAATGCCTTGAATAATCTGTTAAAAAAACCCAAAAAATGCTAAAAGAATAATCGAACCTACAACCTTATGGTTAACAATTGTATGCTATAACCAACGACGCTACTCCATTTTTAACAATTTTATTAACAATAAGATTTATTGAAGGCATTTTTTATCAAAAACGCCTTCAATAATCCTCTCTAATTTTTTAGAGGAATTATTGAAAGTATTTCTAGTAGAAAACACCTTTAATAATCGCTTCCATTTTTTATGACAAGATTATTTAAGGCACTTTCTGCAAAAAAAATACCTTCAATAATAAAAAAAAAATGAAAGGGAATTATTTAAAGCATTTTTGACTAGAAACATCTTAAATAATCTCCAAAAAAAAATGAAAGGGAATTATTCAAGGCATTTTTGGCTAGAAACGCCTTGAATAACCCCATTCAATTTTTTGTAAGAGATTATTCAAGTCAGTTTTTGGCCAAAAATGCCTTGAATAATCCCCAAAAAAATGGAATGGCATTATTCAATGTTTTTTGGCCCAAAACACCTTGAATAATCTCTAAAAAAAATTGAAAGAGATTATTGAAGGCGTTTTTGGCTAAAAATGCCTCACACTTTCTTGTTGTTAAATTTTTCTTAAATTTCAAACTCGCTGAACCTCTTTTTTACTTTTCTTTTCCCTATTCATTTCATCCATTTCTGCTCATTTTGGGTCACTTTCTTCTCATTTTCTACCTACGTTTTAGTCATTTTATAGTCAATTTTCATCTTCTTTCCTTTTGTCTTTGCAAATTTCAAGTTAGCTTTCTTGCATTTTAAGTCAAATCTCTAAACTTTTTGTTTGATTTGTTGGGTCAAATCCCTAAACTTCTTGTTTGATTTGTTACGTTTCTGTCATCGTTCAAGCTCTATTGGTAAGCTTCATTTCAACATTGGCAACTTTTAATGTTAGACTCTTCTTTTTTTTTTTTACCAATTTATTTTGTTATTATAGTTCTAAGTTTGGTTTTGTTTGATTTGTGAGAAAAATTCAAGATAGAATAGAAATTGATTATTGAATTTAGTTACAAACACGAATGAAACTTTGGTTTAATTTTTTTTTCAATAGAATTTGTTAAAATTATTAAAAAATTGCTATTTTTTAACATGAATTTGTCAATTCATTCAAGATATCCTTAGGAAACCATTATGAAATAGTCTATTATGTTTTTTTTTCATTTTATTTTGGCATTTGTTTTGTTAGTTTTTTCAGATCATGATGTTTGATGAAACAAATTAATCTTGCTTGAAAGGATTCGTTGCATGTGAAAACCATTAATAATAGAAGGTGGTAGTGACCAAAGTGGAAAAAATCTTTTATCAAATGGTAGTGTTCCAAATCTATGCAGTCATTAATTCCATACATTTTAAATTTTTTGTTAATGTACTAAAATAATTTAAATGTTATTGCATGTATTAAACTTTGTGTTTCATCCATATTAAAAAATATTATGTATTTATAATATTCAGTTTATGAATTTAAGTTTGTTTTTATTTCTTTTAATATTTTTTATTTAATAAAAATAATCGATATTAAAAAATAAAATTTAAAAATAATTTTTTAATTTAATAGCATTTATACCTAAAAATGCCTCTGAATGCCAAAATGTAGCAGCACTTTCTATTATAAATGTTGCTAAATTTATTGACATTTTTTACTATAAACACCTCTAAATTTAGTAGTGTTTTATGATGAAAATGCAGCCAAGTTAGCGACGTTTTTCTAAAAATGTTGTTATTTTCTCAAATGCAGGAATAGGTGACACTTTTAGCGGCATTTTTGGTAAATGCCGCTAATCCTTTAGTGGTGTTTATAAATATCGTTAAATATGAAAAAAAAACCACTAAAAGCCTAATCTCTTGTAGTAACCTAAGTGAATCTATTTTTTTTAAAGTTACCCTAAACTTAAACTATAGATCCTTAAAAAGAATAGGTTTTGGTCTACATCAATATAATTAAGTTTGGGAGTTGATTATGTGCAAGGAAGGTTTTAGTATTCCATTATGCCCAAAATTGGCATCATATTAATTATGTGTTATTTTGCTTAATCCTTAATCAATGATGGTATTTTATCATGCAAATTATCAATTCCAATCCTTTTATTTATTTACAAAACATTGTCATACAAAAATTCTATAAAAAATCATACAATCATGCAAATCATACTAAACATCATATCGATATATCATGCAATAAATAAAAAAAATGCAAAAACTATAATGCAATAATATAAAATATCATGCAATAATATAAATATCATGCAAAAATTATCATGCAATAATGTATTATAATGATTCATGCAATAATAAATAATCATGCAAAATATATAATGTAATACTATATTAAATCATTCAAATATGTTAACACTCATACAAATCAAACAATAAATATAAAATCATGCAACAAACATACAACAATATCATAATAAATAAAAAATAAACATGCAAAAATATCATGCAAATAAATAATAATTCAAATATATTAATAATCATGCAGTTAATAAATAATATAATATATATTAATAATCATGCAATTAATATTATAATCATACAATTAATAAATAATGCAAATAAAATTATTCATGCAAAAATAACATCATGCAAAAATATAAAATATCTTGTAAAAAATGTCATGCAATAAATCCTAAAAACATGTAAATCATAAAAATTCCAGTCAAAGTTTATGCCATTTTCTTTTTCTCATCATTCACAATTAATAAAAACAAAAAAAAAAAAAAACCTAAATAAATCAAATATAGAAATTAAAATAAAAAAGTCAAACTTGCACTAAAGAAATGGGTCAAGGTCATAGCCAAAATCTTTCTTCCAAACAACGTCGTTTAATGGGGATTTAAAAGGCCAAAATCAGCTTTCTTTCTTTCACAATCGA